CTACATAACTTTCTCTGCTGTGGAATTAAAATACTACATTATTCTGCACGGTCTTTGTCAGTTTGGCCTGCTTCCAAATGCAGATGCCAAAAAGGGGACTGAAAATGATGTAACACTTGAACTTGGATTATATTTAATGTCAATTTTATTCATGACATTTTCTCTCTAACACAAAGACAACACTCGAACAGTGCAAATTTGTAAATGTTCTCAAATCTAAACTCAACGGCTCGCGTGATGTCGTAACGTTGTGCTGAAACGGCGCCTTTTATATCGGTGAGTTATTTTAATGGAATGGCCGATATCCGATATTTAACATTATCGCTAATATCGGCCGATACCATGCCGATAATATCATGCATCCCTATTTAAAATAGTCTAATAGTTTACTTGCACACACCCTCACTTGTGTGGGATACACAGCCACAAGCTACTTTCTGCAAAAAAGTCCTTGTTTTCATGACGGCATTGCATCAAAGACATGGACACAGTGAAAAATGTATCCACCCAAGTCGTCTCATTTACAGGAACAAGCTTTTCAAGTAGTGTATTAAGTAAAGATAGACAGAACCATTTCTTTACGCGCCAGCAACATCTCCAAGTGTTTTTGCCTAATTAAGCTAAATGTAGCTGCTGTTGGGGTTTAATCAAACTACATGAAACCTAATTATCTCATTTTGAGTTTTTGACAGTAGAGACAATAAGGCTTTAGTCACCAACCGTGAGCAGCGCAGGCGATCGGGACGCTTGGGGAGATATTCAAAAAGTCCATTTGATCAGGTTTACAAACGCTGCACATGTTGTCTGTTCAGCTTGGCTCTATAGATTTTGCAGAGAGACAACGTGTGCGCTTTTTATTTGTGTTTGTGTTTGCTTCCGCTGAGCCTTTTGCATATGATGACCAGAATGATGTTTACCTGATTTTAAATGCTGCACATCTGCTGCCGCAGATGGTGCTGGCTGCAATGTTCCCTCAGTGCATACAGAAATAGAGATTTGAATTATCTTTTTTTTTTTGTTGCCCTGAACTATGTTGGTCTTTGTCCTCCCTTCTCTTTGTGTTCTATCTCATAAATTTACAGGCGCTCTCCAGCAGCGTGAGCTCCAGCAAGCTGTTCCCCAGCAGCACTTCTCCACATGAGACCTCCTTTGGTGAGGAGGTGGAGGTTCACAGTCTGCTAGTTGTGGATCAACACACCTTTGAAGGTGAGATGGCTTCAAATGTTCATTTCCATTTGAAGTCAACGAGCTGCTGCTTTCATATGAAGCTGCTGGTGGTAAAATGGTCGCAGCTTGGCATGATAATTGATCTGGAGATGAATTTACAATCATTCAATCAGTCAAATTTGGATTTATCTACTTTATACAGCCATCCTTAATTTAATTTCACATCCTGATTTGTTGTTTGTTCTTTAAATTGTTTCTCGCACTTTGTAATTTTTAACAATGCTTTATAAAGCTTGTCGTTAATTCCCAGAATGTAAAGTGCCCACAGAGTCCCTCGATGAATTATATGATTGAACATGCTTGGTGTCCTGCAGGTTATCTTCATGGATGAATGTGTGTCTCTTTTCTTTTTTTAATTTAAAGCTGCAATCTGTTTTGCAATTCAGATTTTAGTTTGCCAAGCTTTACTTTTAAAATTCCAGTCATTACTACTACCCCATAAATTAGGGTTAGTCACATGTTAACAATATGTAAATAAGGGGGCTGTTTCAGCACATTGTGTTCACAGCTGACAAGACTTCATTAAGGCACCACCAGATAACATTTCATACCGATACGCTGGGTGTACTGCTACCTCTGCTCAGCTTAATTAGAAAAAGCAGCATAAGAAATATTGCACAGTTTCTTTACAGGTGGAGAAAGTTAGGCAGAGTGGTGGAGAATGATGAATAATATATGTGCCTATAGAACACAGTTTGCTTCATTAGGTGTGGAACAAGGTATTGATGGAACAAGGTACAGCAGTCCCTCGTTAACGCGGGGGTTCCGTTCCCAGCCCCCCCATGATAAGTGAAAAACCACCAAGTAGGAATAGTAGTACAAGTACAGTAGTAGTAGTTGTAAGTAGTAGTTTATTTTAGTATTTATATATATATTAAGATGTTTTAAACACTTCCCACACTCTTGCAATATTCTAAACAATATTTCTAAACTCTAAATGCTCTAAAAGAGCACAGCATGTCATGATCTCCACTCTCTGCCACCTGCCGCTCGGCCACGCCCACTTCTCCACAGAGAGCGGGCATGCGGCAGGAGGGAGCTTCTCCCTACACCTGTGGGCTGCACACAGGTGCTAACTCATTTAAAATAATTAATTTTAAATAAACAGTCCATGCGGCTTTTGCGGCTCTTCCATCAATTAGCCAGTTGTGTGTCATGTTCAATCTTACTTTGAAAAATCACAGAAGTCGAACTGCGAAGTAGCGAGGGACTACTGTATTTTCCACTATGTCTAATTAAGGAATCAGTATACTGCTGCCCACTAGCAATGTTCTGAAACTGTTAAAAACTGGCTCCCCTGTTCTCAAGGTGCTACTTTATGGCTTTAGATTTATCCTTAAATTAAAAAAAGTGAAAACTGACTCATTATAATTGTATTTTTGTTGTTGTTGTATTTTTTATTTTTGTACCATTCAGTCAATAGAGAAAAATACTGCACTTTAAGTGATAGTGTTTTATTTATATTGTATAATTAAGACATTGATTTAAGATTAAGTCTGCAAAAATATGGAATAGCAAGAGTGAAATTGTCTAGGACTCTCGTTTAAAGCTATAATCATATTTGTGTTTGCTATAAATTTTGTATGGAGATGAGGAAACGAAGGCAGGCTACCAAATTATTTGTTTCAATAATGTAAACTGTTTGATAGTTTTTATTTGTACCCATTTTGCTGTGCCGTGTGAAATGTAGCCTCTAGCCACACATTTTTCTTGTTTCATGTTAGCTTTGTTGAGGCAGGCGGTCTTACAGTGTGGCCTAGGACACAGACTGTTGTATTAATGTGTCATGGATCCAAGACCAACTCTGAATAGGACTGCAAGGTTATGGCCATAATTGTTCTGGAAATGATTTAGATTAATGCAGATTAGTTCTGAATGTGTTTGTACCATCTGTGGCTTATACTGTAAATACCCAGTCTAAAGAGCATCATGGAAACCTGTTTTCTGCTTTCACACTTGCTTTTTTCTAATATGTTTGTGTTTTTGTCAGTTCTCCATGCCCATCAGTTCCTTCCCAGCGAGTATGCCCTCAGCATTGTGTCATGTCGCCTGGGTAAAGACCCATCTGTGTATTTCATCGTTGGCACTGCCATGGTGTACCCAGAAGAGGCAGAGCCCAAGCAGGGACGGATTATTGTCTTCCATTACACTGACGGTCAGTAGCTTTCTCTATTTCCTTCAAACTCTACCCCGACTGGGCTTTCTGTTTTGTTCCTTGACCTTACCAGACTTGTTTCCTCACCCTGCTCATTTTTGTTTTGTTCTGTTCTTTTCCTTCACCCAGTTTCATTTTCTCCTCCTCACTCCCTGTTGTATTTTAAGCACGGACACGCCGTCCTGCCAAAGCTCTTGTTTCCCTCTCTCTCACTTAATCATTTTCTTATCACTTCTCATCACCCCCCCCCCCCCACACACACACACACACACACACACTACTGATTTGACTCCTTTTCTTTAACACACTGTCCCTCTCAGAATGCGTTGCCTGCATTTCATTTATTCCACTCCATCTCTTCATTTTACCCTCACCCTTATTCTTGATGCAACACCAACTCAATTTTATTTATCTCGCATCCTTCGCTCGCTCTCTGTTTTCTCTTAAGGGATCTTGTAGATGCTAATTTAACTCAACATTGCATGAGTAGCACTTTGAAGGTTGAATCCTGACTGACATATTTTCTGTAGGTAAGCTGCAAACCGTGGCTGAGAAAGAGGTGAAAGGAGCCGTCTATTCAATGGTGGAGTTCAATGGGAAACTGCTGGCCAGCATCAATAGCACAGTAAGTGGTGCTGGATGGTGTATTCTAGGGGCATAGGAACCTCTTGCCATATTTACTGCCTGCCGCTGAAGCCTAAAGTGTGATGATGTTTTTGCCTCTGATTGTGTGTGTATGCTTGTGTATCTGTTGTTAGCCAAATATCTCACAAACCACTGGATGGACTTTAGTGAAACCTTATGAAGTTAATCAGTGGATGTACATCTTCAACTGCAGTGTTTCCCCTACCATTATACAAGCGGGGTACCCCGCCCTGCCCACAGAACCGAGCACCCTGTCTACTGGACCGCTTGCACCCCCCCACCTGTCGGCACTGACATAACGCTAAGCTAGCAGCTCGCAATACAGGTGCGCTATCTAAAAAGCAAAAAGCAGCCTCTTCCCTCATGTTGAACCCTCACGCTGAAACCCCACTCCTCCACTCGAAAACTGTCGGTACAAACAGCGCGCAGCTCAGATGTGTCTCCCCCCCCCCCCCCCCCACACACACACACACTTTGAAAACTGTAAAACTATCTGTACAAACAGTGTGTGGCTCAGATGTGTCTCTCTATCTCTTCCCCACCCACCCCACTCCAACACTGTTGGTATAAGCAGCGCGCTGTGCAGCTCAGGACATGTCCGACAAAAATCACAGACAAGATGAGCATCCCGCTATGGCAAGTTATCTAGGGAAACACCGAACTGGACTATGTAAGATGATCGCTACTGCCAGCTGACCTTGGAAAGCACTAAAATGGTTATATCTCAAATTATGAGGTAAAACTTGTTGTGGTAGTAGCTAGTATCCATCATCACAAACCTATAGACCCGAGTGCTAGACATAGCACAACATCTTGGTTTAAAACTTTGGCATCAATCATTAAATTCAGCCATGTTTATTTGAGGTGGCTGTGGCTGAGTGGTTAGAGCAGTCGTCCTCCAACGCAACAGGTCCCTCTTGCTAATGAGTCCCCATCGCTCAATGAAACTAGCCTGTATAAATAAAGGTTGAATGAATGAAAAGTTGGGGGTTCGATTCCACCAGCAGTCATATGTCTATGTGTTCCTGGGCAAGACACTGAACCCCTCATTGCCTTAGATGTGTGTCCCATTGGTGTATGAATGTGATCTAAAAGCACTGATTAGTCTCTTTAGAATGATTTGTTCCATTAGCTTTGTATAAATACAGTAGAGTGCTGTATGAATGGGTAAACGAGGACACAGATTGTTGTGTAAAAAGCTTTGAGTATGTTGATAAGATAGAAAGGTGCTATATAAGTACAGTCCATTTACCATTTATTTGTCGGTTAAATATGTTATGAATAATAAGACAGATTTAATATAACTTTCTCAGAATAATTACTGGGTGTTCATCTACAACTTAAACATTTCTAGAGTCTACCTAATTCAAGATGGCTGCCACAGTTTATTGACCTTAACCAGTACAAAATAGGCTGCACATTAGTCAGATTTACAGATGTTGAGCTAACTTTTAATGTGGTAGCAGCAGAAAGTCATCCTCAACACATAATTTGAGCGCAGACACATCTTGTAAGATCTGGTAATATCACATGATTGTGTATAACGTCATTTACAGAGTTTGACCAAAGTGACTAGATCTGTCTCTTCTCAACATGAAATGATTTTAGCTTAAAACACTGGCATGGCATTTGTTTTCAAGAAATGCAAGGCTTTTTATTTTTCTACAAACTGTTCTAATAACTTTTTTTTAGTGGTTTGCTTGAAGGATGAATATGATTTAATGGTTGGATTGGGTTTTTAACTCGTAGTCTTTGTTAAGGTTTCAGACACAGTTTGGTGCTTCTTTTTAACATTTCCTTCCAAAATCAGAGCTTACCATCTGGCCCTAATATTGAAACCAGTCTGTCTTTCTCTTCTTGCGGCATAAAATCTGCCAGCTGTAACATTTACAAAATCAGTTTTCCTACATAAAAGTAATTTCTCGTTTACTTTTATATTCCTAACTTTATTTTACACAAAACAAGAAGAAAATAATGTTAAAGTTCAGTATCTAAACAGTTTATCGTTTATTAGTATTTTTTTACATTCACTGTTCCTTAATTTTGTTTTTGCCATGTAAGTCGGTCAACAGATGACTCATCTCTTTGCTTTTTAAAAGTTTTTTTAAATCCGTGTGATCGATCCAGGAGGAAAAGCTCCGTTTCATTAAATTAGTTTCGTATCTCAACAGATTTGGCTCGTGGAGAAGTGTGAACTCACCTGACATGCAGGGTGAAAGAAACTGCTTTTTCTTGCTGCACTGGGTTATCACGCTCATCCATAGTAAGCTAAAGATAGCTTTACGGGATTAAAAGCTGGAAAGGTGGTTTTATCTGGAGATATTGTAAATCAAATGGGAAGTTCAGATTTCTGGAGCTTATCTGAGGGGCTCACTTTCTACTGCACTGGTTTATTATTTTATTTTGTAACCTTGACTGAAAACTAAAAAAAAAGAAAAACTGACATTTTTTGTGTAATGTTGATTTAACCTTTTATTTCTGGTTACAGCTTCAGCAAACTAACAAGAAAAAAATGAAATTTTATTATTATGAAGTTTAAGATTTAATTAAATTTGCCTTAATTCCTCTGTCTTTTTTCCAAAGATTTATTTGATTTAGTTTTAGGGATCTGTGCTCGCGAAGGCAACAGAACGTGGCTGCAGAGTCGCAGCGTTTCCATGCATCCAGCGGAACATGGAACCCTATTGTACCTGTAACTATGGTGTAGAAACTGACAGAAAATATTTATACATGTCCACCATTAGGGGGTGCTATAATTGTGGACATTGCATTTGGTCACATAACTTATACCGTAAATGGAAAGTCGCAAAAATTAATGGCTTACATAACCATGTTTGCTAGACTCTACTAAGTGACATGGTATAGACCACGCCCATTTCTCTCTAAAAATTATTTTTACATCGCAAAAATTCTACATTTAAGCCTTTCACATTTATGCCTAGGCAAATAGTTTATGCAAGTAAGCCAAACACATATTTGCCATATCTTCTAACCTAAGATGCCTATTCAGATGAAACTTATACTACTGTTACTGGACTCTATTTTAAATAAGTGGACTAAATTTGCCAAACAGTCCCATAGAAGGTGGTATAAACAGAAATAAAATGTCCCTCCTAAATGGCTTATTGGATCTTTAGGAAATCGAGCAAAGACTTTTAGGACCATCCTTTGAACTTAAACCTAAAAGTGCTCGAGCTTGGTCTATAGGATATCAAATCAAATGTTCCACAAAATCAGTCATAGAGCCTAAACTATATGTATTTTATACCATTTGCATTTGTATGGACAAAGAAAAACAAGGAACTCAATGTCCCTTGCCCGGACGTGGGTTACCGGGGCCCCACCCTGGAGCCAGGCTTGGGGAAGGGGCTCGTCAGCGAATGTCTGGTGGCCAGCTCTCTCCCCATGGGGCCCAGTCAGGCTCAGCCCAAATGAGCAACATGGGTTTACTATTCTGTGTGCCCTCCACCTGCAGGAGGTGCCATACAAGTCGGGTGCATGACTCCATCAGAGTCAGAGAGTCAGAGTCAGAGTTTCTTTATTGTCATTCGCACCTCATGTGGTACATGTGGTGGAGCGAAATTATGTACACGGGGTCCCAGTTACATCCAACAATAAAATGTCTAAGAAAAACAGGAAAAACTTTCCATGGAAAGAGGCTGAAGGCGGGGGCCTTGACGCTCTGACCCTGGCTTACCAAAGCTGGCTCTTAGGACATGGAACGTAACCTCTCTGGTGGGGAAGGAACCTGAGCTTGTGAGTGAGGTTGAGAAATACTGACTAGATATAGTTGCTCTCACCTCGACGCACAGCATGGGCTCTGGAACCAATCTCCTTGAGAGGGGCTGGACCTTATTCCATTCTGGAGTTACTCATGGTGAGAGGTGCCGAGCTGGTGTGGGTCTACTCTTAGGTCCCTAATTTGGTGCCTGTGTGTTGGAGTTTTCTCTGGTAGATGAGAGGGTAGCTTCCCTGCACCTTCAGGTTGGAGAACCAGTAATGACGGTTGTTTGTGTCTATGTGCCAAGTGGCAGTTCGGTGAGACTAGGACATTGTTAGGCTGATGATCCTCCTTTTCCATGTAAATAACTAGTTTTGGCTTATAAGACTGAGTTTGCTTGCATTTCCTTAGACTGGATAAGTATTTTGGATACAAGATGAAGCATTTGAACAAATAATCCATCCTGAGGGCCTGACTTACCCATGTTAGATTTATCTACCTGGATTATTGAGCATGTATCAAGATACTGCAAAATAAACTTATCCTTTTTCCTTAGCATGCTACAATCACCTGGTACCTGCACCAGGTATACAGACTGCTGAGCATGAGACCAACCAGGGTCGACATGCAACGAGTGGCTTGGGCTTCAGTGATAACTGCTTGCAGTTTTACTTTTATTTGTTTTTGATGTTTATGAAATCAAAAGTGAAGCTTTTTTTTTTTTAATGTATGAAATCAAAAATACAACTACTTAATTAAATTCAGCATAGACATGTCTGCAGTCTGTTAACATTTTCTTCTATAAGTCAACTAAAGTACCTTTTCTATTATTGATTGAATTACAATTAATTTGTTCCTTTTTATGGTTTGATACTTCAGTTAATGTGTTTTAGCTACTTCAGTTGCAGCCTAACCCTTAATAACAAAGTCCATGCTCAATAATTCAAGTATAAAATCCAACATTTTTCAGTCAGGTCATCTGGACAGTTTTTTTTTTTGTGCTGAAATGTTTCGCCTTCGATCCAGAAGGCTTCATCAGTCAAGGAAACACACAACAAAACTGATTCTTCCCCCAACAGCTTACTCCAAAGTGGAACAAACCAGTTTTGTTGGTGCTAAGATGGTCTCTTTCGTACGCCCCCCTCCTAGATTGCCGGCCCTCTTCCTTGTTGACAGTCGTGTCAAACTGGTTGAAAACAACAAAGTCCATGCTCAATAATCCAGGTATACAATCCAACATTTTTCAGTCAGGTCATCTGGACAGTTTCTTTTTTTGTGCTGCACTTTGGAGTAAGCTGTTGGGGGAAGAATCAGTTTTGTTGTGTGTTTCCTTGACTGATGAAGCCTTCTGGATCTAAGGTGAAACGTTTCCGCACAAAAAAAGAAACCGTCCAGATGACCTGACTGAAAAATCTTGGATATTATTCTTATGATTACAGTTTTTAATAATTTCTTTAGAGCCAAACAAGCTCATCATTTCAAGGTCTGTGTTTGTGCATATTTTCTGACCGTTTCAGCCACTTTGAACGCAGCGTTCATCACTCAGCCTTCAAATGAATAATACGCTTCAGAGCTATACACCTCAGTCGTTTTTAGAATGTTTACTAAATGACTGACGGTGCACACAGTGTGACACGGTGGGTCTAATTAGCCATTATCTGTTCATTTATGTGCTAGCAAACGGTTTATAACACCTCACACTCACCGAGAAACAACGAAAAAAGTGTGAAGGCAGTTGTGAATCTAAAAAGTCAGTTTAATTTATAAAATGCATCACAAGCTCTTTTCTGGACGCTAATATTACAAGAAGTAACTGTACACTTCAGTTGTTTTGTTTTCAGGTTCGTTTATATGAGTGGACGGCTGAGAAGGAGCTGAGGACTGAGTGCAACCACTACAACAACATCATGGCCCTTTACCTGAAGACCAAAGGAGATTTCATCCTGGTGGGAGACCTGATGAGGTCTGTCCTGCTGCTGGCGTACAAACCCATGGAGGGCAACTTTGAAGAGGTGAGATGTGAAGAAACCTTTTGGGAAAATAACCATATAATTCGTAGAAGTTCAACCAGTTATATGTTACTTTGAACCAAAAAACACAAATTAGGTTGGACTTTCAGCCAAGGCAGCTGTATCATATACTGTCCTCTCCCAACACGCAGGGACTTCTCAGACTTTTGATGTGCATGGTTGCAATTGATTTGTGCTATAAAGAAAAATAATGCAAATTTTTAGCACATTTTTATGATAAATGTCAAGTAGGTGTTGCACAAAGTAATCACGATCAAAAAATGCATCATTAAAGGAACTTAAGTCTAAATTTATTTCAGTACAGCACAGCTGTAAATTTAAACAAATGTGCACATTTAAACATAACAAAATATTCACTAGCAAGACAATAAAGAAGTTCCCTCTTCTATATATATATATATTTTTTTTCGGCTGTTCCCTTTTCAGGGGTTGCCACAGCAAGTCACCTGCACCATCTCACTCTGTCCTCACTCCATCTACCTCCATGTCTCTAACTGCATCCATGTTTCTCCTCTTTGTCTTTTTCCTGGCAGCTGCATTTCTAACATCCTTCTACCAGTATACCCACTGTCCATCCTCTGCACATGTCCAAACCATCTCAGTCTGGTTTCTCTAACTTTATCTCCCAGTTGCTCAACCTGTGCTGTACCTCTCATTCCTCATCTTATCTATCCTTGTCACTCCCAAGGAGAACCTCAACAAACGTCAGAGTTGGAAGTTTCAAAATTAAAAAAACAACAGTTTAAATAAAAATCACAGCCACCAATTATAGAACTAACTGTGTATGTGCTTGCAGTAATCCATGCTTCTCATAACTTATTATTTTGTCTTTTACTCATGCGTGGCTGATTAACTTAGCACAAGTGTCAGCACAACAACAAACAGGTTAAAATCATAGAAAGCATTTTGACAAGTGCTAATCTCAGTTGCTGCTTTATGATTTCCTCTGTCCACTCATCGCAAACTCTGCAGCTTAAAATCCCTCCAATGAAACAGGCTTTGGGTACAGTCATGTGCTGCTGCTAATTTTATTAACTGGGGATCCTATCATTCTCTTTTCAATTGATCAACGTGGAGGACGGTGCATAAAATCTGGAAGTAAAACTGAATCTGTGACCAAAGTTTTCACTCTTTAATCCTTTCAAAATAAAACACATTAGCAGAAACAGATTCTGGGGTGCTGTTTTTCAGTTGTGTTTTTGAGGGAAGGGGCCAGTATGGAAGAAGCATGTATAGATAATGGATGAATGGATGGA